TGACGAATATCCTCCACCGTGAAGACAAAGTCGGTTAGAGGCTGTTCGTAGTTTCGCCTTGACAAGAGTGGATGTGGAGAGGACGCTGGGGCCGAGTATAGGCACGCATAGTGTTCGCTGTAAACCTCAGATAACACTGTTGGGTCATTCGTCGGTTTTCCGTTCCCGTCCCTCAAGGAACCCTCAAAGAGAACCCAAAAGGGAGACAGCCGCGGTACCTGACTCTTACTTGTTTGAGAGACCCCACCATGGTTCACCCTATCGGGGTGCTTTTACGAACAGCCAATAACCAACTTGACGTATACGAAGTTTACCATGAGCTCCTTCAGATATATATAGGCTGCCTCGCATTTTGGCGGCCACGTTCGGATATGGGAGTGCACTTAAGAGTCGCCCGGCGGCTTGGTAATCGTTCAAACCAAAAGACAAAAAGTTTAAGAAGAACCAAGATAAAACTAATCCTAAAGACATTAAACATATTCTCGACCCGCCGGGAACTTGGTGACGGGAAGTTTCTGTCTTTGGTAGAGGCGGATCAAGTGCTACTCCAGGGTGAGTGGGCTACTGAGTATATGAAATGAAATCTTCCGTGACAAGAACTTCTTTTTGGGAAAAAACTCCGAGAAAATAATTCAGTTGCCCCGATCTCACTCGGGGCATCAAATGCAATCTCACACTCGCCGCTAGTAACTGATCTGTGATCTATCATTCAAGTACGAACTAACGAATCTTTCATATTCAGCCATGAGTTAGTCAAGGAAATCTCGAGGTACCCTCGAACTTAATCCTTGGCTGGTTAGTCGAGGGGACATCAACCCGACCCTTTGGAAGAATTTTTTGTCTAATCCGCGCACACCACCGGATATCGCTGTTTCCAAAGCAAAATCCTTAAGGAAACTGAAGCTGAATTAATGCAAACATTATATGAGATTGCAAGTCTCTTGTGGAACTCGGGGATCAGGACCCTGAATAAAATTTCTCCCGCTTCCCCACAGCTGAATTCGTATGTTTGTGAGGATGCAATACCAAGTGGTGCAAAGCTAGCGTAATCACGTCTAGAGGAATCGGTAGTCGGCCCGAGTAAGCTAGCATGTACTTAAGTTCTCAAATATCTCTATAACACACTCGCATCGTCATCAGCTGCTGGCGCTGCAAGCGCTGTGCATGCACCACGAGCCAGGGAGCCTCTAAAAGCTCATGAGGTTCGACGGTGGTGCAGTTTTCAGGGGGCCGCCCGAACAGACTTGCCAATTCAGTAGCGGAACTGGGAAAAATGCGAGAACGAAAGCATTCACTATCCACCTAAGAACACAGTTCTATCGTCGGAATTGAATGGCGATTGGTTGCACCGATTAGGTTACTATATTTATTCCAGGCTACCAGTGATATTTTAAGCAGCGATAACCAAGCTCTAGAGAGTAACTACACTTCCCACAACAGCTACCAAACCTGCGGAGGAGGGCCCTAAGATCCGAGGTCAAACAACCAAGTTTCAGACCTGAGCTGGAGTGTAGTACCTCCCGGCCACTTAGGCCGACCCCCGTATCAGGGATGAATAGGAAAGAAACATACCGCTGAAGCACGAGACATCCAGGCGACATGCCCCTTCCGGACCGTCTACAAACGTTTTACGGCGTTTCAGACGCCAACGGCTATGACACAAGTAATGGGTGGAAAGTTATAGTGGTGCCAGCACCATGGTGAAATAATGTGGCGCGACACGCGGCCTCTTAACTTTTACAAATTAAAAATATACTAGGTGAATTTTAGGAACAAAACTTTGTGGAGGTTTCGTCCTGTAAGTGAAGCCGATCTATGCGGAAAAGCCGAGGAGCACCACAAAAATCCCAAATCTCCTCACACTACCAACCATCTATAAGTAGCTCAGTGGAAGAATAAACTTCACCCGATGAGTGAAACTTCCTCTGAGAAGTCGTTGATCGAGGAGCCAGTCACCACGTGTGACGGCGTGATGTGGATCCCGTGATTGAAGGATGAGCGGGGCTACATCCTGTCTAAGCGCGAATTAATCACACTGCTGATCAGCCGCTCGTGGCCGAATGGTTGAGTGTTCAAACTACTAGCCGGGAGGCCGCGGGTTCGTGACTCTCCGAAGTTTCGTGAGATGCGCACTGCTGATGATTCCCATTAAGGATGAAACAGCTGTGCAGTGCTTCTCGGCTTTTCAGCATAGATTGGCTTCACTTACAGGACGAAATCTCCACAAAAATCCAAAATCTCCTCACACTACCAACAATACAAAACTTTACTTGTTGCTACAAATGCACATCACGACTAGGATTTTCAGGGATCAGGGAGGATTAGCTTATGAGTCCGGGGAGGAAACATGGGACAATTTAGGGATGATTCCCCCATGTCCGATATTTACCCAAAAACATATTGAGTTGATCAAACAAACACAATTGTCCTCCGCATCAAACAGCGGTAAATGAACACGCGTTGTTCACTGCATACAACGAGTCAATGCATTTAACACCTCAACACAGCGTTGAATCCATATGATACCACAGCATTTGCTCCCGTGGGTCCCGACTCACCTGTATACCAGGAAAATGAGGCATATTACAATCACTGACAGCAAAGTAGAAAGCTGGACAGACAGGGGCCACATATCGGATGCAAGAGGATGGAAAGTGTCATACAATTCAAACTTTAACGACCCAAAGTTGAACATATTGGCGCACAAATAGAGGGTGACGGATGTTCGCAGCTCAACGATCGAGATGCTGCGTTTGGTCAGCGCCAGTTGGAAGACCACGGAAGTAGGAAAATGGCTTCTCAGTGTGTAATTGTGATGACGTGCTTTGCCATATGATGAAGTCGGGAAATTCAAAACAGTGAAAACATTAGCATAAGCATCACATCAATATAACGTATCATTCACCAAATTCGATTATCTTGTTTAGCTACTTAAATATTGTAGGTAATTAAAAATGCATTCAACTGGCATTTCGCCAATAGTGGTCGCCGCTCCGACGCTTGCTTCTAGAGATCAACGGTTGTCGTTCTGACTACTTCTTTATTCGATGTATTTGGATAAATTTCACCAAGTTTTTGTGAACTTGACAACTAATTCATATGGATATTAAGAATCAAAATATAGCACTTAAACCCCCAAACGGATGCATCGCATTTCCCGACGTTCTGGATAGCCGTGCGGCGCCCTTACTTCCGACTCAGAATAAAAAAGGGAAACCACAAAAGATTGGGCAAAAACTTCTATTCCAAAAGGGTTTGCAAATAACCGAAGAAAAATGAAGGTTATACTCCTGGTGCTGGAAGGGGAGCATTTTCGTAAGGTACACGCATGGTCCCGAGGAAAAACCTGAAGAAAGCCTTACGAATGAACAGAAAAGCAAAAATCTGGATCACCGTAACCACCTGAAAAGGACAGCATAACAGCCAAGTGGAAACCGGGGTCAACAAAGTTCAACACCCCGAAGGTTACCCAGATAAACTAATAAGTTGAAAACGACATGGTAAAGTCTTCTT